ATACTCAAATGGAACACGGATTTTTATAAGAATGCTCATAAAATGTTCACACATGATTTAATTGAACGTTTAGAAGAGAATCTGATAATAATCCAACTTTACATGAACTAAGTTCATTTTTTATCAACAGAAAAATGTTTAAAAATTTAATTATTTTTTAGCATTGGTATATGTATTTTTTATTTCATAATTATTCAGGGAATAAATTGAAAGAAAAGAAAATTGCTTATAATTATTTAATTAATGTTCTACTAAATTAAAATGTAAAATATTTTATTATTAATAAAATAAAGAAAAAAAATATACTTGTATGAAAATAGCTAAAATGGTCATCTAAAAACACTTCAGCCAATACATCTAGAAAATTGACCCCAACATTACGTTTTCTTATTATTCCGTATTACACAATCCAACGCGGGAAAAAAATTGAGTGTTTGATTAAAAAATCGACTGCTAAACCTGATAAATCAAAAAATAGAGTCACCAAACCAAACTCTAAATTGATGGATAAAAATTATCTATAGGAAAGATCATGACAGTGCATGTGATGACCTGAGTGCTTATACTCCATCCGTTCCGAAAAAGTTAGCCAAATTTCCTTTTTTGGATGTCTCAAAAAGATTTGTCATTTCCATTTAAAGTAAAGAATATGTGGCTAAAGTTAATTCTCACAAATTTCAACCACACGGTTTTTACTTTATTAATCCACGTGAAAGTCAACTTTGATCGACTTTTTCAGGACGTAGGGAGTAAAACAAAGGAGAAACTTCATGGACAAGTACCTGCAAGGCTGCAAGTCCACACACAGGAACCTTCGAAAGTAAATTGACCTTTGACTTTTATTTGCTTAATTTAATGCAATATATTACGAATATGAAATTTAAAAATTACTAAAAAGAAGTATTCTCCTTGCCGAAATTGATTCCTCTAACACTTTCTAAATTCACACTCCGTAATTGTTGAACCTCTTTTTATATCTCAAAGTCTCCATTAATTATATATACATCACATGCAACCTTTCCTCTTTCCATAACCTCCAAATTTCCATTCTCTCCTGGCCATGGCTGATCACCAAAAAATCTACCCGGTCCACACGGATCTTGAAAGCCCACCGGAACCCACGGCACCATTGGTTCCCCAAGGCTCATTACGGTCAGACAAAGGTCACCCGGAGCTGCAGCAAGCGGCGGAGCCGCCACCAGTACCACGTCAGCTAACACCCCACCACCGAAAACCGCCGCCGCAAATAATCAAGAAAAGAAGGAGCTGCTGCAGAAGATGCGTTTGCTGGACGTTCTGCACCCTTTTTCTCGTGATCGTCGCCGCCGCCGTGTCCGCCGGCGTCTTGTTCCTCGTTTTCCGGCCAAAGATTCCGAAGTACTCCGTCGACAGCCTGAGAATCAGCCAGCTCAGCCTCAACGCCGACAACAGCCTGTCGGCGACGTTCGACGTCAACATCACGGCGAGGAACCCGAACAAGAGGGTCGGAATATACTACGAGAGCGGCAGCCACCTGAGAGTGCTCTACGCCGGGACGGAGCTCTGTGAAGGGCCGTTCCCGGAGTTCTATCAAGGCCACCGCAACACGACGGTGCTGAGCGTGGGTTTGACCGGTCAAACGGGTGACGCGTCAGGGTTGCTTCAGTCCATGAGGATGCAGCAACAGACGGAGGGCACTGTTCCGTTGGATCTCCGGGCAAAAGTTCCGGTGAGGGTTAAGCTCGGGAAGCTGAAACTTATGAAATGGAAGTTCTTGGTGAAGTGCAGGGTCGAAGTTGACAGCTTGAATGAGGCAAATGACATCCGGGTTAGGCATAGTCAATGCAAGTTTAGGTTTAGACTTTAAGCACGCCTGTCGTTGACTTTTGGTCTTCTTTTTATATTTATGGCGTATTTTTCATTTTTGTTTTCCATTTTTACTTTATTATAGAGTATATGTAGTACATACTACGTATTATTTATTGATTTGAGCACTTGTAAATTTTATTTATTTTTACATTGTACAATAATGATGATGACGATCCAGTCGCTGTGTCTACACGTCATCTGATCTGTGTATTTATAATTCTATCATAAGCATTTGCTATACATGTAATAATAAATAAGTATTCCCATTACATTTTTATTTTGTTTATTCTAGCTCAAGTGATTTAGAACTTAATGCAGACAAAATCGAAAGTTAGTGAATTAAAATTGACATCTCATTTTATATATTTATATACAATTATATACGTAGTATATATATAGTGAAGATTTCCGCCGAGTTTGTGAATGAATGTTGGTAAACAGACCTATTATGCATGGATGATTATTGTATTTATGTATTATGCATCATGGATGATTAATGTCTAATTTCAAAGAATGAAATGAATTGGCAATAATGTGTCTTTTAGATTAGATGAGTCATGATCAGGGGCGGACCGTAGTAGAGACCCAGAGGGGCAGTAACCCCTCCAACAATTTCTTTTTAGTGTATATATATACCAAAAAATAATTTTCGCCCTCCCAAAAAATATTTTTTTTAAGTTACCGCCCTCCCAAGATAAAATTCCTGAGTCCGCCCCTGGTCATGACTCATGAGTGATAAGAAATGTAAATCATTAAACTACACACACTATATCATAAAACCCTTTACACGCAAATAGTGCACGCGTAGATTACTAAACTGTATCACGGTACATAATAAGATGCGAACAAGTTAAAACAAAATTAACAATCCTCTTTTATATCTATAAACTTTAAAATATGAACATTTGTACATTTTTTTGACAACGTGTTTTGTGATTGAAGTCAATTTAATCCATCCATTAGTTAGTGATTAAAGACCAACATTTTTCTTACTTTTCATAAGAAGATTACTGTTTGGATGAACTCACTCATATTAAAGAGTCCACATAATAAACTAGTCCTTACATGGACCTCTTGAAATAATCCTTAACCCAAATACTACGTACTATACAGAGAAGATTTGGAAAGTGTTACAAAGAAAAAAGACAAATGTTGCCAACTGTCCTTTGAGCCTGAGGGAAAGGTACGGTATTATGGCAATTGCAAGCCGTCAAAATAGAATAAATTGAATTTCCCCTGACTTACTAAATGAAGTTAGTACACAATAGTGAACAACCTATGGAGAAACTGCTGCCTTCATGTGTTTCATTAAGCATTGCACAACAGCAACATTTCCTCCCATGTCTCTTCACTGTCGTTCCATCATCCTGCGTTTTTTGACCTTTCTCAGCCATTCCCTTCTTTCCTCTTCTTCTATCTTAATGCGTTCTTCCTCATCCTCCTTCCTGACAATCTTGGCACTGTGTCATTCCTCCTTCTCTATGTATTCAAAAGTAGCCAACATATTACCATCATCATCGACATACTTGTTGGGATTATACCCAAATAAGTTCCTAATCTGCATAATCGCTTTGGTAGCATCATCATCTTCGGGTCTTTTTGCTGGGCGACGCTCCCGGATTTTACTATACCCATCATCATATTCATCATCAATTCTCATAGATCTTTTTGCTGGGAGACGGTCTGGATGTCTAATAACTGGCTGCTTCATCGGAGGTTTAGAGGGCGGAACCACTCGTTTCTGCATCACCACACGAGGTCTAGAGGAGGGCACTCCATTTTTCTGCATTGCCACAGGTGGGGATCTTGAGGATGCCCCAATTGATGGTTTCTGAATCATCTTAGATTTGCTGGATTCTTGAGATGCCTTGTTCTGCACCAATGCTTGCTTTGAATTGGCAGTATGTTGCTGTTTCAAAGGATTTGATCTGGGCAAGTTAGGCAAGGGTCTCTTCACAACATATGTTGAAGCTTTTGAAGGAAGTTCTTGTTTGCTCACATTAACAAATTTAGGTAAACCAGCTTTAGGTTTCAATTGTGCTGAACGCGATTCAGGACGCGGAGCAGAGATCTTCTTGGAAAAAACAGGTTTTGGAGCAGCAGGAAGCGGGATAGCATCATCATCAGATAATAAAAACGAGTAATCCCTAGCATTCCTTATCTCCTGGATTTTCAATTTTGTCACACCAGAAACAATTGGTGCCCTGCTAGTGGTATTGACCTTTGGTCTAACAGAGTTCAAACCCTGAATCTTGGCATTAGGATTACTGGCCCTCAAAACCTTAGCAGCCAAATCAGGGTTTTCCAGTAAGGCCTTACTTTCTCGAATTACTCTTTGAACTATAACTGGCTGTGATGGACCGAAGAAACAACCAAAATTATCCTTGGATGAAGAAGAACTCTTGATATTGCGTGAGCCGGTAGCAGTTCCCGACTCCTTCTTCATGTGATTTCTGTTTTCTTCTTTCAGCCTTTTCCGTAGTTGCAGATAGTCCAATCCCTCGTGTTCTTCACTTGCATATCTCGCCATTGCTCTTCAGATGCAACAATGACTACATATTGCTTCAAACCTGATACCTCAATCGATATAAAACGTGCCGAGAAACCGGTTTAGGGTTTGTTTGCAACAGCTTGTGCTTTTAAAAAAGTGCTTTTTTTGATGAAATGTGGAGAAGTGATTAAATAAAAGTTGATAGTTTTTGAGAAAAAAGTGATTTTGAAAAATAAAAGTGGGTAGTGTTTGATAAAATAAGTGCTTTTTGTGTAATAGAAAAAGTAAAAGCACTTTTGACGCAGAAGCCGAGAAAAATAAAAATTGTAATGTTTGAAAAAATAAGTGCTTTTTTAAAGTCAAAAGCTGAGAAGTGCTTTTTTAAAAGTACTTATTTTTGAAAAAATAAGTGCTTTTTCATGTGATTTCTGATTTCTTCTTTCAGCCTTTTCCGTAGTTGCAGATAGTCCAATCCCTCGTGTTCTACACTTGCATATCTCGCCATTGCTCTTCAGATGCAACAATATGACTACAGATTACTTCAAACCTGATGCCTCAATCGATAAAACGTGCCGAGAAACCGGTTTAATCGATCAAAGACCCCGAAATCGATCACGGGTACAAGAAGATCACAGGCGCAGATTTCAGATCTGGAAAATCTGCCGGTACGAACACAGACAGAAAGAAGCCAGGTAGTGAGAGTTGTTTATCTCACTAGAAAACTTTCTAGGTTGCTCTACTATCTTTCCGGCACCGCCACTCGCGGTGGTCGCCGGCACTGGAGCCCTCCTGGCTCCGGTGGGCTGGTGGTCGTTTGGTTTCATTACCATTTTTTGGAAAATTACCCACTTTGGTGGGATGTTTTTGGTATATTTGGTACTTGGGTCTCATGGTGATTACGTGAAGGACTGTTCTCTGGTTGTGCAGAGGTCGTCGTACTTGGGTTTTCAGCGCCGGATTTCGTTTTCGCCGATTTACCAGACGAACGGTAACCACCGTGTTCATCGCATCAAACCTGCGCCATCTACAACTACAACGAAGGCTGTCCGGCACTAGTAGCACCTTCGTCTTCGGACTGTGTGTCGGAATGGTTGGGGATGGTTGGACTGCACGGGGGACTGGAGGATAGGGACGCCAGGACACGGAGCTTCGGAATTCCAAGGTGGTGCAGGTCTCGCCGTAGATCTCACGCTACAGTTCTCCGGCGAGTTTTTCATTCTTCCACGGGTGGTAGTTGTTTTACTGTGGCGGCACAGGGTGAGGGCTTCCCGGGTGCAGGTTTGGAGTGCCTCTTCCATCGCAGTTCTGGCCCTCGTCTGGCCAGGGCTTGGGTTTCTGAGATGGCAGTCACCGGTGGCTATTTTTGTTTGTCGCCGGAGTATTCATTTTGCTCCGGTGAAAGTGCTTTGGTTTTGGAACTCTATGAGAGACGGGTATCATTATTCTCAAATGGGTTGGCTTCTTGTCTGGTCCGGAACTGATACTTGAGGTTAGATTTGCTCTGCCTAGTTCGTTGCTGGAGTTGGGTGAGTGTTGCCGGAGAAGAAGACCGGGGGGACTGGAGCGATTACAGGGCCTCTTGTTTTGGATTCTATTGGTTTGTGGGTTTCATGGATACGTTTTTCTGTTGAAAGTGAGCAGGTTTTCGCCGGAGAAGACCACCAGACATCTGGGGTTGGAACCGCCTATCACTACTCTTTTCCGGCTATTGTCCTGCCGCCTTTTAACGCCTTCCATCAACGCCGTCGGGGGTCGCCGGGGCCTAATGGGGGTGGGAGGTAGGAGGAAGGACCTCGGTTTGGCAGACTGTTACGTTCCGGTTGGTTCTTTGAACTCCGTTCTCCAGCCACCAGACTGCAAGGTGGTCGCCGGTGCCAGGTGGGGTGGTCGGGAGAGGGGGTTGGTTTGAGTGATGGATGATTGGCCAGGCTGTCATTGTGACTCCTGCTTTGATTACTGTGCAAATTCGCATTTTAATTTTGCTGGCTGCGGCGCTGGAATGAAATGTTTGATGGGCTACTAATTGGGCTCTGACCTGGCACGGAAACCCGAACAGGCAACTGGTTGCTGGGCTTCTTTGACTTTTTTGATGTATGTTTTGGATATTTTTGGACTGTTTTGGATATCTTTGAGTTTTTGATGTTTGTTCAGAATTGTGCCTCTTAAAATCTCCTCTTCCCTCTGCCTAGGGATGGCAACGGGGTGGGTTTGGGGCGAGGGTTCGCTCCCCTATCCCCGCCCCATGTCTAAAAAGTTTTCCTCATCCCCACCCCATCCCCGTTACTCCCAGACCCGCCTCATCCCCGCCCCGTCCTGGTGTACCCCACGGGTGCCCCCATATAGATTTTATTCACTCCTTCCGTCCTATTTAAAGGTTCCCACGTGGTTTATGGTGTTTGACTAATAACCATAAAGTTCATTGATCTCTGTCATTAGTAGAATTATTTTTAGTAAATAAAATTTACATATTCAGAAACTACATTAAAAGTTCTATAATACCTGATAAAAAAATAAATTTTATAAAAGTTATATATATATATATATATATATATATATTAAAGTAAAGATTAAAAACAATGAACGTTGACCGGAGAATGTGGACGGGAACCTTTAAATGAGATGGAGGGAGTATCTTATTTGCATATTTTTTTAAACCCATTTTAAAGATAAATATAAATATATATAGCACTAAAAGAGGTAAGCTAGATAATATCGTGACATCGTGTTTGATAAAAGTTAATTCCTTCAATTTTTAATAATTATTTAATTTGAGTCAGAAAAGTAAAAAAATAAGTAAAACATATTATCATCATGTATGTCGTTACAAATTTCTCATCAATTAGAATACAATTAATTATATACAGAGTATATTATACTTAAATATACATATGTGTTCTATTTACTCACTTTCTCACTTTTAACAGTACTCATATAGCATTTATGATAAGTATTTTTTATTTATTACGTATTATTATGATGATATAATATTTATTAATTCATTAGTCATAATAATACACAGTTACACACATATATACATTTATATATGTCTATATGTATATGCATGTGTTTGTTATATACCTCGTACTACACACTCTATAATTTACTTTAATAAGGTTATACATTATTTATGTGTATGTATGTTTGTGTGTGTGTGTACTGTGTGTGTCTAGCGGGGACGGGGCGGGTGTAGCAATCCTCACCCCCACCCCATATTTTAACGGGGTATAAATATCCCACCCATCCCCGTCCTCAGCTCACCCCGCCCCAAACCCCACCCCATCCTAACCCCATGGGGCGGTTCCCCGTGAGGCCCCGCCCCCATTGCCATCCTTACCTCTGCCTTTTACTAGGTGGGGGAGGTTAGATAATTTTGATTTGTATTATGTTATTTTTCTGAATACATATATTTACATTTTATCCAAAAACAAAAACAAAGAAGCCACGCCACCAGAGGAATGCTTTTGAGGGATTGTTGATTTTCTGACTCCAAAGGATTGTTGATTTGGGCGTGATCGTGTGAGGAAGCCTTTTACCATTTTTAAACCTCTTTTATTTAAGGTATTTTCGTTTCTAATTTTTTTACTGATATCTCAATAAAATTTAAATAATGTCCATCAAAAAATTTATTAAAATTCAATTGGGAAGTCAATTTAATAAATATTTGGAAAAATTTATATTTATGTATAAAAAATTGTGCATTTTCAAAAAATTATTTAACTAACTTTGTGATCAAATTTAAACTAACATCTAGTATACATAATATACGCTCCATGGAGAATATGCTCATAGCATTTCATCAAAATTTCGAGTGTGAAGCATTTCAAATGAGACAAGCCTACAATTGTAAAACATGCCAAATGTCAATTAATTAAGAGGATTTCTAATCCGCATGGAACATAGTGGAATAGCCGGACTTTAATCCCCTCCAATGCATAAAGTCTAAAGCCCAATTTAAGTGTATATGTGGCCTTTTTTATTAAATAAAAAACGGTCAGGCCAACTGATGCCCTACGTTAGTTAGTTTTCAACGTAAACTGATGGACAGGTTGTGATCGCTCTTGCTCTTTCTCAATATTTCATTGAACTCATTCCACGAACAGGTAATTTTATGTTGTTATTGGGTAATCAAATTGAACGTATATATACCCGATTTTACAACCAATTCATTTTGATTCCTTCTGCTGATATAAGTATATAACAGTTCGAATAATCTTGAAAACATATGAAATATTTTTTTGGCTAGAAAACATATAAAATACGTAGTATTTGTAAATTGATCTATCTGATATATGCAATCCATTAATAATACTCCGTATTATATATAATCTTTCATATGTATTATCAAGGTTATGTAAATTATAGTGTGTATCTTGATTTAATTATTTCTCAGTTTGAATATTTGAAAATTTCGATATATATGAGTTGTGCTAATTGATAATATGATATCATTATACTACGTATATTATTGAGTGTACTCATCAATTACATGAAAAACAATTGAAGTTACCCTCACTGCTATGTTTTTTTGTGTTTTTTGTTACTGATAGAATAGTTTTCATTGTATAAGAATATCACATTATTGATTTATTTTATTACATAGTTTAGGTTAACGGTATGGCATCGTCAAGTTTAAGATCAGACAATTTATAACCACTAATAACAATTTTTTATTATAGTATAACCTTTTTTTTTTGTTTTGTTAATACAATGTGTGTGAAGGATATGGATGCATCAAGTTTTGGATCGGGCTCGAACAGTACACCTTCAAGTGCAAATGAGCTCTCACTTACCAAAAAGCTCTTAAATGGTCCATTGGAAAATGATGCCCTTCATGCCGAATATAGTTCAAATGTTCCCTTAATTGTGTCTACAATGTTAACTGCTGCAAAATTCTCTCTCAGCAGCTTAGGTTATGGCAGATGCTATATTCGTCGAGATAGAAAAGAGCGTCATGACATGATAGTCAATGACTACTTCAAAGGAGAAAACTCCAAGTACACCCCCAAACTTTTTCGTCGTAGATTTAGAATGGGCATCGAATTATTTACCCGGATTTTACAAGATGTAGAGAAATATGATGATTATTTTCAACAAAAGGTTGATGTTGTGGGAAATATTGGTTTGAGCCCATTACAAAAGATGGTTGCGGCAATACGTATGCTTGCATATGGTTGTCCTGCTGATCTTGTTGATGAATATGTTCAAATCGGAGAAAGTACCGCAATAGAAAGCTTAAAGCGTTTCTGTGCAGCTATTATAGGACTTTATGAAGAACAATATTTGAGAAAACCCAATAATGATGATATCAGAATGCTTCTAAAGGAAGGAGAGTCCCGAGGATTTCCAGGTATGCTCGGTAGCTTGGACTGTATGCATTGGCAATGGAAAAATTGTCCCACTGCTTGGCATGGCACCCACACAAATGGGTTTAAAAGAGTTCCAACTCTTATTTTGGAAATTGTAGCTTCACAAAGTTTATGGATTTGGCACGCTTTCTTTGGAATGGCGGGTAGCAATAACGATGTTACTGTTTTAGATAGATCTCCATTATTTGATGATGTGATTAATGGGGTTGCTCCACCATGTAAATTTGTAATTCAAGGTAATGAGTATAATATGGGTTATTATTTAGCCGATGGGATATACCCACAATATGCTACTCTCATCCAAACAATATCTCATCCTTCATCTGTCAAGGAAAGATTGTTTGCAAAACAACAAGAATCTGCAAGAAAGGATGTGGAACGAGCATTTGGCGTGTTACAAAGTCGATGGCACATTGTTAAAGGCCCGGCCCGTCTGTGGAGCGCTAAAGACTTGGGAAAGATAATGAAGACATGCATCATCTTACATAACATGATTATTGAGAATGAGCGCGGTCAAGGCGTTGATCCGGAAGATTGGGAGGCCGAAGGAGATGAATCAAGTGAAAGTGTTGCACTAGAGCATGATTTTACCTTCATTATGTCAATGATGATTAATCGAACAAAACAAATACAAGCTACGTGGCTGCATAAGGATTTAAAAAATGATCTCATCAATCATTTGTGGGAAGTTTATGGTGGTCAAGCTTTTGAAGGATAATTCTAATGTAATGTTTACAATTGATGGATATTTTCATTTTATTATCTGATTTTATTGGATAGTATTAGTTTAGTGCTTGGTTTTTATGTGTAATATTTTGCTTGCTTTGGTGGAGTCTTTCAGTTTTGGTGTGTAACTAATCCTTATAAGTTAATTAGTGATTAGACTTATAAGTTTTGGTATGTAGCAATATCAAATACTAACTTTGGAGATCCATGCCCAAATGTAGTGAAGCGTTTGACTGTTGAAGCAACCTGCGCCCCTTTTGGAATTGATGGAAATTGGTAAAATAGCTCACAAGGGACCTGATCAATCAGTGAATGAAAGAAGGGACATATATAGTAGAAAGAATAATAATTAGCACAGCTGATGGAGTGATTTATTATTGTTTATTGAGTGTAAAAGTGTAAAAGGTAGGTAGTTTATAATTTAGAGGTGCCAAAGGGTCCTGTTACTTTAAAATACAAGGTGAGTGCATATTCTCGATGGTTTCTGGGAATGAGATATGTCATCTGACTGCTTTGGTACATATCCCTTATTAATTGGAGGTGATGGCCGGATGAGTTGCATTGTCTTATTGAGTGTCGCACACTGATAATTATGTGAATCTGGGGAGATTAAACCCCCTTCTGTTAGGTTCATGTACAAAATGGATCCAACATAATTATACTAAAGTCAGTGGCAGCAGTAGGTTGAATTAATCATTAAACACATTAAGGACAACACATTCAGAATAAATATAATCCAAGCAATAACATATTAAATATTAGTTCAAGCTGAACAAAATTTTAGGCTAACCAGTATCACGTAAACAATGAAAAACTACAGAATAAATCTTCACTATGTTTAGATTAAGAGAAGCTGCCAACTTCCCATTCCTCCAAGATTTGAGCTTGTAAGATTTCATATTTACCTCGCACAGTTGGTGCAAGCCTACTCAAATCAAGATTCATTATACGTTCTTGATCAGCTCTTCTTTTATCGTGCTCTTTTAGCTCTATCTCCTTTTTCATTACTTGCTCTCTAAATGCACGCTCATTCATTTGATTTTCCTTCTTCATCTCCAACTCGGCCTTATTATATTCTATTTGCTTGTCCAAGGTACACTGTAATTTATTTAGTGCTTCAACCACTCCGTTTTCGGAATTGATCTTTCTTTTCCTGTCTTTAGCACTTTTCCTTCCCAAGGGCCGCACAATTCCATCAGTTTTGACTTGCTTAGGTTCAATAGACTGACTTTCTGGAATTGGTGGGGTGTCACGTACTTCTGTAGTGGTTTTATTATCTGACCCAGAAGCC